GAAGTCCAATTTCCTTCAGTGGAGCACCGCTCAAATTGTTATTATTAGCTCAACTGATTATTCACGTCATGAACAAGGTTTTTTCTCCATCGGTCTCGATACATCATCAATAAATCTAAGCGCTCATGAAACAATACACAACAAACGATGCGCTTTATTTTCAAACACAAGAATAACATGAGCAATTGTCGCTTATAGCACAGTAGTCAGCCAGATGTGTTATGCAATACACACGTAGCTGTTTTATCCACTTGGACTACGAATCCCTCACTCTCTACGTTGGGGGTCGGGAAAATGGTAGCAGACTGTCTGCAAGAGGAAAAGACTGATTTGTTGTACTGATAAAAAAAGCCCACGGCGTTGATCAATCCCTGAGAGGTGCGCCATGCATTCAACTTCATTCATTAAGCATCGTTTGGAGGTGATTGAATGCATATCTGGCCCTCACAATGACTCGTGGTGGTTCACCGATGTATCGAGCTATTACTGCTATTCCCCTAGACAGGTCTGGTACCACCGATCCCGAAGGAATGAATAGCTAGGTGGGCCATAGGCGCCAGAATCGATTCCATGTGTGTATTGCAGGGCGCCTCCGACCACTGCACCGCACGCGTTCTCTTGCACTGATAGGTCGCAGGAAATGATTGCATTAGTGAAATATCCATTCAATTATCTTTACGATGCTGGGTTTAGTCGAATGATTGGCGCGTAACAAAGGTATTAATCAACGCCTTGCAACCACACAAAAGACAAAATCTGATAGTATTGCGAATTTGTTTGGAATGAGCGTTTAATTGGTCTGGTTTGAATTTGAAGGCGACCACTGCTTTTAGTGAATATGTGATGCTCAGTATCTGTCAGCCATTATGTATTAATTCACTGTTTTCTTGATGAACAGACACGGGGTTGTTAAGAACAAGATTTACTCAGTGCAATACTGGGTGACACATCGGCGGTTTCGCTTTCTTCAGACACTGGACAGGCCAAGTGGAACGCAATCTGCACTGTCAAACACTTCCATAACCCCAACAGAAAACTTGGTACGTAGATTTTTTTTATTTGCGTGGTTAACGGCTTCTCTCAAACGCTCACCGTTTTCAATGATGCTGAGATATTTGCAAAACTCCGGACCGCAGGTGTATACGGTGGGGAACGAACGCGCTATTGTCCTTTCCGGGGAGTTGCGCGTTCACCACCACATCACGTGGGTCCTTCGTTTCGCCTATCCCTCAGCTAGTTCTATCGATACTCGATGTATCGAGCCAGTGCTGCTATTCTCCCAGGCAAGTCTGGTACCAAATGTGTGTGACGCAAGACGCCTCCGACCATATCTCAGCTAGTTCTATCGATACAGGCGAAACGAAGGACTCGCGTGGTGCGGTGGTGGACGCGCTACTCCCCGGGAAGGACAATAGCGCGTTCGTTCCCCACCGCATACACCTGCGGTCCGGAGTTTTGCAAATATCTCAGCATCATTGAAGTTATATTTCACAATGTATATCCTGCCGTTAAAAAGAGTAGGCAGTAAATAATAAGTTAAAACTCACCGTTTTGTTCTTTCCAAATCTTCCACTTATTCAATAGAGACCAGCCCTACAGAGCCTCACAAGGGTTGGGAATGTGCTTGGTTCAGATCAGAAAAAGTCGACCTGAGTTATGGCGCGAGGTGACGTATGATCAAAAAGAACTCCTACTTGCGATTCTACTTGAGTTGTCCGACTACATGTTCTTTTCAAACGGAAGCAGAGTGGTCTACTCATTTCACCAATGTATTCGTCGCTGAATGCTTTGCAAGAACTTGGTTATAATGTTGGCTTTTTATTTCCTGTCTAACACAATTTTTCACGGCAGGGTATTATGTGAGGTACAGCCATAAAAATACTGAGATATTTGCAAAACTCCGGACCTCCGATGTCTACGGTGGGGATTGAACACGTGGGTGATGGGCACCTGCAGTCCGGAGTTCTGAAATATTTCAGCATAATTTTGGTTTAATTCCACAAAATTCGGATATATTCTGCCCAAAAGCATGCAATTATGTAATTTTTCGTTGTGCATAGATGATCACAGAAACTGCTCCGAACTAGCTGGTGTCTTTCAACCATCGCTACCGATTTCTCTAAACCGGCGCTTCTTAAGAAGTGCTTTATAGCCGCATTTATGGGAATTAGGGGTATGATAAGCACGACCTTATTTCCGGGAGAGTTCTTTAGGAGAGTTGTATTCTCTCTGAACGTATCCCGAAGACCATCGTTTCGTAACCATTAGAAATAGCTAATTTCGTCGCCAAGTTAAAAATTCTTCCTTCTGGTTTCTTTCTGTGTAGGTAATAATGGCTGTGCGAAGCATCTTTCTCACAAGCACGCGTTTTGTGTGAAGGATGAGAGGAGGGGCGATGAACAAGTAGGATTTCATTAGTTGGCTGTGTTGCAGGAGGTTTTACATAGGTTAGCTTGAGGGCTCAGAAACAGAGCTATGTTTTCCTGCGGTGTCTCTTGAGTGAAGTTTATGCACGCTGACTGTTCATTCAATAACTCAAAACATTTATCCACCTTCTCCTCCGTGCAGTACATGATCATGCAATCGCCTATATGTCTACACTAGAGTGATGGCCGAAGATCGGTTGCTGTACTTTCTACCTTAATCATAAAGGCAGCAGCATTTCTTGGTGCCAGTGGCTGTCACATTGTCGACCCCCTCATTTCCTTGACAGAGGTGCGCATAGCGCATTGGTTAGAGGTGCCCTGCAATACACATGAGATCGATTTTCACGCCTAAGGTTCACCAAGCCATCCATCCCTCCGGGGTCTCAAAATTCGTATCAGAGTTGTCTGGGAGGATAGCAGCACTGACTCGATACATCGGTAGTCCACGGCAAGTCATTGTATAGGCTAGATATGCATTAAGTCACCTCTAGAGATACTTGATGAAGTCGAATGCATGTCTCACCCCTCAGAGATTGATCAACGCCGAGAGCTTTATCCTTTATTTTTTTGATTCCATTACCATCTAATGATTAACCAGCTTAGGCACTTTTTTGAAAGAGCCATGAGCTACTGGATCGAGATGCCATACATGTTTATAGCTCTTTCGCATCGTATAAGGGGCTCGCAGATTAAAGCGTGGTAGTGTCGAAGGACTACGTAAACGGTGCAGGACATCTGAGTACACGCAAGATGGGCTTGCATTTGTTTGAGTTTGGATAAATTCCAAAAACCTAAATATGAATCGCAAGGAGGAGTGTCTTGTGATCACGCGCGACCTCTCATCATAACTTAGGTTGATTTCCGCTGGCCTGAGTCATGCACACTCGTTAGCCGTGTAAGATCCCGTGCCGCTAGTCTCCAACAAATAGTTGGAAGACTTGAAAAAACGAAACGATGATTATTAGAGGAAAGAATTTATCCATCAATTTTTTTTACTAAGGTTATGAAATTGTTTGCCTGAGTGAATCGTATGTCAGTTCGGGCTTTCCAGGTTCTGAAGAAGAGGAACCTGCCGAAACGATAGCCAGTATTGTACTAAATAAATCTTGTCGTTAGCAACACCGTGTCTGCTCATCAATAAAACATTGAATTATTTGAGCAATGCCGAGCTTAGTAGTAAGTGGGCCTTCGGAACTGCTTTATAATGTATTAGTTACATTCGTCTGTATTTGGTGCACTCCTGTTAGTTAGATGAACGAGTACTAGTGGACTATCCATTGACCCTATAGCGCACCTGATCTCTACACAGGCTGCTTTCGATCCATCATCATGTTTTTAGTCTCCAAAGACTCCACATGGTTTCTTGGGCAAAAAGTCCCAAAGGACTCAGAGAAAATGAGTTTGGCGCTCTGCAATAGAAGTTTAGAAGAACAAAGCGTTCAGCGTTGATCAGCCTTTAATGGTCGCGTTCCACGCCATCAATTTCGTCAACCATTGCGAAACTGAATGATTGCATATCTGGTCTTTACAATGGCTTTCAGTGGCCTACCAATGTACCAAGTCAGTGCTGCTGTCCTCCCAGACAGGTTTACTTGCAATTTGATTGCTCCGGAAGGATGTAAGACTTGGTGGTCCGGAGTTGGCAGATTGAACCAGTAATCGATCCACTGCTTACTACATTCCAGCCTTATCCACTGCGCTACACGCGTCCCGGTGCTTCGTGAATGCAAACATCAGAACTTTCACATGTGTGATACTATTGTTGTTGTCGACGAACGGCATTTAATAAGCGCTACACTGTTGAAGACTATAGAGGTCAAGGGTGTTATAACGAAAACACAAGCCTGGTGATATCTACAAGAGAACACTTAAGGACGAGTGATTGCTTGGTTGCGATTAACGAAGTCGTTAGCGACGAGTCTATGACATCTGATGCTAAGAAAAGAGAAAGTATTTGACTAAAGCAAGTAAGACTCTTGGCCTTTAATGTTTACCATTCATTACTGATTTAAGCATCATACGGCTAGGTGTTTATGCCACCACTGTCTGTCTTATATTCATTGGAAGTGTTCTTAGGAAGAGTCACTGCAGTAATTTTGAAACCGACCGTCATTTAACCTCGGTACTATAATAAGTCGACTGGCTTCGTCGGGCCTATTGGAGACGAAGACGTGGAAACGATAGCCGAATATCAACCTCGTGTAACCTCAGCAACATAAACAAAAGTCAGTGCAGTTCCCAGAAAGTGAATTGCTTTAGTTATCATTTGTCGCAAGTTTTACTTCCAGCCTTTTAGGCTTTTTACTACAGAGCTGTTAGATTTATGATGTTGGTACCAAGGACGTATAATGATAATGACCTAATTTTATCGAATATATACGTTAACTTCATCACCATTGTTTACTGTTAACGGAGCTTATTAAACTTACCAGCCTTTTCATCAAATGATGACCATTTTCGATGCCTGCCTACCAGAATACCTTTTACTATCCTGAATTTTTTTGTACAGTATTTTATTTCTTTTACAGTACCTTTCTTGTAGTCAATACTATAGCAAGTTATTCAGAAGTGTAGATGTTCGGTGTTTTCGAGCTTTGTAGTATCGGAATGTTGCTCATCATATCGTCCAGGACTACAAATGCTCAAGCAAACTGTACCAGTGCACCTACAGAGGCGATTCAAATCATGTGCCAAGAGATTACACAATGGGCTATGATCTCCAGAGTCAGTGGATTCTAAAGAAATTTGTCATTACAAAGATTTATAGGATTTTTTGACTAATATAGGATCTTCCTACGGAGGTTTTTACTGTAAAACTTACTGTTTACTTTACTGCTTATGTTTTTACTTCCATCGCATCCTCTGTTAGCGATGAAGTTTTACTGCGCTACATCCCAAAAAAGGGTCACTGCAAGATTTGTCCACTCCAATATAATTTTGGAAGGAATCCACTAGAAATTTTACTCATTGTACTACTTTCTAGCTACTTTCTGTCATTTCCGTCAGTTTCAAATAGTATAAGATAGTTCGTCGTGCTTGATGGTTTGTTGTAAACGTTCGTAAAGTCCCACCATAACATCGGCGTTCGTTTGGTGAACATCACGTGGATTTCAGTCAATGATACTTTTGTCTCCAACTATTTATAAGTCCTACGACGAAACGTGCCAGTGCAATTTGGTTGGTGACAATCAGATGCTACATGTCGAATCACCACTGTATGCATTTAGCTAGGCCAATTCATTCGCAACTTGGCCCTTTCGGAAAGGCTTTTATTGGCACCAACAACATTTTCGTCCTCATAGAAAAGTTTTCGTATAGAGAAAAAGTGGTAAAAAGTATATGCAAACTGCCACTTTTCAGAACGTCCCCTCTAAGACAAGGACACATGAGGAGTCACCGATTCCGACCGGGCTGTTTGGTCAGCAATCCGTGGGCCCAGCTGCTAGAAATGCGTACGAATGCATGGATATTGCATGTTTGTGCAGATTTCTTGGAGGTATTAAACCATATACGTATCCTGCAACATTACTTCATTACTAGTACACCTTGCTTACAATGTTGTCCTGTTAATTATCAAATTACTCGAAGAGACCACCAGTAAATTTCACTCATTCCTGCTGCAAGCTAATGCTTTTCAATGGGTTGCGCTCATTCGTAGGGTATGAAAATACTCTAAGCTGTTGATTCTTTAGTTTACTAACCTTTCCGTGCGTTGACAAAAAAACTCTCCAGCCACCATGAGACAATGAACCCTTGAGAAGATTTATGTGCAATAAATGAAAAAACTAGAAATTATAGAAAATGGAAAATCATCTGAGAGGAAGAAGGAACGAAAGATGAGCATGGTGTGGTAGTGAACGCGTTAGCACAAGGAAAGAGTAATAGCGCGTTCCTTTCCGCCGCAGACACCTGCGTTCAAGGGTTTTGCAGATATCTCAGTACCATTGTGATTGCATCATACATAATACCTTGGCGTAAAATTGTAATAGGCAGTAAATAAGACTTAACATTGTACGAATTAATTTCGAAAGTGATAGTGAATATTACACAAAAGCTTCTAAGGAACTGGAGGCTCCAACTGTGTGCTAGCAAGTGGACGTCGGCTAAGAAGAGCCACTCGCAAGGAATACCGTGTGCTGACGGATGATGAGAGACAACGGTACTTTTAGACTCCGAAAAACTTCTGTTTCGAATATTACGTGGTGAACTGCGTACAATTTATATGGCGGTAATATAAGTTTTCCTTTATTGTCTCAAGAAATTGCTGGACCAAATCGTTAAGTATGTCTACAAATGTAATATCGAACTCGGGATGGTTAATAAATACATATACGAATACGCCTAATTTTGTGTGGACGCCATTGGGCCGTGGCTAATCTCTCATCGCGCGCACTGTGCATCTAAATCAGTGCATGGGCTCTGCTCCTCGCCTATCCGACAGCGAATTTCCGTAAATGCGTAAAGTCACTTGTATGTTTAGGTGCATTTCATGGAATTCTTCTTATGAGCTCTGAGCATCAGGAATCCTTGTATTTTCAGTTATCATGCAGCAATGTGGACGATAAAACGTAATGGTGACTATGACGCATTATCTCGGATCCATTCGCAGTTCTTCACTTCTCCTGGCGCTCACTCAGGCCCAGCATTCCTTCCATGGCATCGTGAACTTATCAAGAGGTCAGCGAATGTAGATCTTATCCCGTGCAGCAAATTTTTTTAATAAAACTACATTGCGTGATTATTAAGGCTGAAGTAGGAGCAATTTGCAGTAATGCTTAATAGAAACCAGTAATCACGTAGACATTCCTTTGATCGATTCTTTAAGAATGCTCTGTGAATTCGACTCCACTAAGCATCGCTGAGTTGGTGAGGGCATGGTCTATACAGCAACTTTGTGGGTCTACCGTTACATAAAGGTGTTCATTCTCTCAAAAAAGTCTGCTACAATGTGCCGACTCCTAAGGAGTGGACACTTGGTTTGCCCGGGTGTGGCTACGAAACGACGAACACGTACGCATAACAAGACATCTGTAACCGTTGCGTCACTCGCATATCGTTATACTTTAATGGAAAACGGTAAAGTTCACGGCGTTGATTAATCCCTGAAGGATGCGCCAGGCGTTCGACTTCATTACATATCTTTAGAGGTGATTGCATTCATATCTGGCCTTTGTAGAAACTCGCGCTTGCCTAGTACCGACCCGTTGGATCTATTCCTCCAGAGAGATCTGGTACCAATTTCTCGACTTCTGAAAGAGGAGGGCTTTTCAAGCCTGGTGCGCAAGATTGTATTCCGGGGCACCTGTAACCACTGCGCTACAGTCGCCTCTCTTACACTTTAATACTCTTCTAAATAACGTGCACACAAACTACACGTAAATCTCTACATTTCTATGATTGTCAGATTTTGATGTTCTAGGAAAAACGGACGTTGCTACGTAGAACTGTTGATATGAAGTTTCCTCCAGTTTTCAGGTTAGAAATCGCTTTACGCCGAGTTGATCCTAGTGTGGCACTACCGTATTGGGATTCGACACTTGATGAACGTCTACCAAATCCACGAGATTCGTCCTTGTGGAGTGACGAGCTGATGGGCACACATGGTGCAGACGGTGCTGTACGCACAGGAGCATTCCGCAACTGGCTAGCTGTAGATGTGCGTCGTTGAGTGCCTATATTCGTTAGCATCAATTAGTTTACTACAGTTAAAACTGCTTTGATCTTCCACTTACTTTATCTTCCGCAGTTAGAAATCTACTAATTTTCAAAGTTTTGAATAGATGTTGCAAGAGAATACGGTCACGTTAGTTTGAAGTCTTGAAGAACTCGCCTGTTCTATGAAGCTTAAATTTTGCTTCACATAAGATTTAAACTGAACATAAAGACATAAAAGATATGGCAGCAATAAGGAAAAAATAGAAGACATGGATAACTCGGACATATATAAACCGTTAAGGGTCGCCGAGTATTCAAGAGAAGTATTGGGAGGGTGGGTAATTTGATGACGGATCGTGAAATCGCGACCGTCGTCGGTACCAGCGACTATCGACAAGTTCTCGCTTCAACTGCTCCACAACGGGTAGGTGAATACCATTTTTCAGCACAGAATCATGAAAGAATCCATTAACGAAAAACAGAAAGAAGGAGGGAAGAGGACGTCTTACCCACCGCTATTTGGTGCGAAAACGTCTCGTTTCTTGTTTAGTGTAAAGAGCCTTTTCGAAATGCCTTCAGGAATGATTCAGGATTCAACACAAACTGCGCAAGTGAAAAAATTGCAAGGAGAGTTTCCGAGTATAAAGGGATGTAAGGAAGACCTCGGATTCATTCTAGAAGATTCCATTTTTCTCCGTTTATGGACGCTTTTTATTCCTTAGGACATTCTTCTAGCAAGTCACACAATAGGAGTTTCAATTTATTTTTAACGCTTGCACCAACTTGTTGTTGCATCACATCAATTGCATAGAATTTATAATAAATCATTTAGTGTGTTATCTATTTCAACCTGTAACATGATCATTTAGGGATGTCGCTATCCGGCTAACTGGGCAGCACTGGAGTATGTGCATGGTGGTCCTCATGTATACAGCGGTGGTTCGTTTCTTGACTCAATCGGTATCCATATGGTTATGGTGCACTTATAACATAGTGGATGGAGGTGCCTGTAATATATACATGATCATTGGTTGGTTCCCCGCATCCGGTCTTACCAAACACCCTTCCATCACTCCGGATTCGGCAAATTGGTGCTAAATGGCTGCAAGAGAACAAAATCACTAACTTGTTTGATACATTTTAGCTCAGGAAAGTCACTGTATAAACTATATGCCTTCGATAACCTCTTTGACGCTCAATCGAACATAGTGCGTGATTAATCCCTAAGAAATTGGTCAAACGCCTAACGCTTTTTTTTCTTCTTACCTCATCTAGCTATAGTTACAATCATTAGTTATTCTAAATGGTCCTGATATCGGTCAGCACTCAGATATAGATCTTACCATGATGCGTCTATAGTGTTTTGGTCTTTTCAGGAAGGTCTAGAACGAGAATGGCAACGTCGGTGCATGATGAAATGGTAAAAACCGCATTGCTATGCAACTACCACCCTCAATACTATTTTTTGAGAGCAATAGGGATTTTAAATGGTGAAGAGTAGGAAACAGAGAAACGGCGCATAAGATGAGTCGACTACACAACAGAATGTAGTATAGAAAACCAATGCATTTTTAAGAAATACCAAAACTAACTAATAAAAAGGATAGAGCTCTCGGCGTTGATCAATCCCTGAATGATGTTTCATGCATTCAACTTCGTCAAGTACCGTTAGAGATGATGGAATGTATGTCTGGTCTCTACACTGACTCGTTGTGGCCTAGCGATATATCGAATCAATACTGCTATCCTTCCACACAAGTCTGGTATCAATTTGTCCAACTCGGAGGGATGGAAGGCCTGGTGAGCCTTGGCCGCGGAACCAAACCCATGTGTGTTGCGGAGCACCTCTAACCACTTCGTTATACGTACTCTAAAATAACTAATATCAGAGTCAAATCAAAGGTGCACTCAAATCTGGTCAATTTCTTAATGACTGATCAGGCCATGTGGAAGCTTTCTACCTAACAATTAACAGCTTGAACGATTCATAGTTTACCTACACAAGGAACACCACGGATTTCGGAACAATTCCCATTTCATCAGTCATTATCTGGTTGGGCAAGAATCTTTCACTTGGAGACCCTGAGGTTATCGTTGCAGGCCTGTCACGGTTCATCACTAAAATCGGTTGCTGAGTCGTGTGAACCGAGTCGCGATATGATGTCGACCAGAAAGGCACCTACTCTCTGAATAAGCTTAATCTTAGGCGAGCTTCTGGATGGAGATATCGTATTTGTTCTCAAATTGGAACAGTATAATGGACAACTAAACTCTAGGATATACATTGTGGCTAGACAATTATCTATGAAGGTTTTAGTTCCTACATAGAACCTTCTTAATTATAGTGGTGAGCTGAAGTGGAGCACATATTCCAGAAATGTCGGGAGTCTGTGGTTTTAGGTGATATGCTGGTTACCACATCGTCCACTAATGATCCACTGTTCTTCAATCATCACTCGATGATTGATCTCATATGGGAAATGTGGCGTGTTTCTCGACAAGTAGGCATCATTCTAATTTCCTAAATCGCTCCATGGAGGATGGTAGTGTATCCCATTTGATTGCAGACTCGAACTCAAAGAGAAAAACAGTATCCAAGTGATAATTCCTTATGCAATAGTCGTGCTCATTTCGCAAACACCATCATGGCTCCATTCTCTCCGATGGTGAATTTGGACGGACTGTCTAACCAATATACCGGTTAGTGAAGCAGTGACACTTAATCATTACAGTTTTGGCAAAATGTGCAAAGAATTTATGAATGGATTTTGAATTCACAAAATATTTAACTTGTTACTTTAAATGCCCTGACGAAGCTTATGAACCATTGACTACGTGCTCATAACAATGATGACACGCAAACTTTCTGACTTTGACTTTCTTATTACCACGTTATGATGGAAACCTTATGATCCAGGAATTCATTGATATCGATGTTCTCCAAAGCAGAAAGTCCATTGTCACAGTCGGTAGGAGTGCCTGACACTGTACACATGGGCACTGGTTTGATCCAACTTCACGGGCTAGCCACACCTTCCTATTTGTCCCTTTGTTCTTCCGGGGTCGGTAAATTAGTACTAGACTTGTTTCGGAGGGTGGCATTGCTGATTTACACATGGGTAGGCCATCGCTACTCATAGATTGCACAGGATGCATTTGCGTTATGCATTTAGTCATCTACACGATGGATGATGAAGTCATATATTATGCAGGATTGATCACTTAGTTACTAATCAGTACCCAAAGCCCTTTGCCGTTTTATCATCCGCACCATTTAATTTTAGATAATCTCTACCAGTATGACCCACGGCCTACGTGCTCACGGTCGAATCCCAACAGATGTGCATCAAAGTAGGTTTCTACCACTTATGATTTATTTCATTCTTTAAAAAATTCATTCTGCGAAATATTTTTAGGAACCAAACAATTATCAGTCCTAAAATGTTAGCTATTCCAGAAAGCCTTTAGACGATAATAAAAAAAGCAAACTAGTACCAGGAATCATCGTCCTTCTTGAAAGGAACATAGTCGTCAAGTATCTGGCAAACCATCCTCCGATTCACAAGAATTCGATGCTGTTTCTGCTGACAACCTACCAGTAATCTAATAGAGTTATCTATGTCAGGCTTCCAGAAAAAAATCCTCGCCCAACCAGTCTAATACTAAGAGGATCGGAATTGTGTTGAGTCCAGTAGGACTTCTAGGAATTAAGGATCATTCAAATCAAACGAAGTCAAATGGTTTTATAAATCACTTTCAGATATCTCTTTTGCGATCTATCACATGGTAATCCTCAGTGTGCCTCAAAAATCGTCATCGGTGGAAGATGTAGTGGATACAGAAACAGTAAGAATGCAGTAATCTAGAGAAAATTGGAATTTAGCCAAAAAATTACGGATCCGTTAAACAAAAGTTAGTCTGGGTTAGAGATCCTTAAGAGGCAGAGCACTCAGATCAAAGGCGTGAACTCCACGTCCCACCTGGAAAAGTTTCCGGAATGGTTTGTTCCTGTTTTTATTCAAATCACGCACTTCTAATTTCAGTTAGAAAGATACGGTTTTTGTTGCCGAAGTAAAAAATTTTAGACGAAGATCGTTGCTATCTTGGTCGATGTGTCAACAACATCTGCGTTAGGGTAATTCAATTTCCTTCTTGTAAAGAAATCACTTAACTTTTACCTCAATTAAGAAAGGAAAAAAACCCGTGAAAACAGAGAAGTCATTGAACTGTTCAGGACCCAAGACTCACCGCGGAGCCACTAAATCTCACCACAACGTCGGCGGTGCCGATGGAAGAAGTAGGTGTAAAAAAATGAATTCTGGGATAAAGCAAGGAGTACTGTAGAAGAAAAAACAGTAATGAAAAACAGAAGAATGGAAAAGGAATGCTTCTGTACTCTTTTATTTACTGCCTATTATTCTTAATGCAGTGTGTCTATGGTGGGGAACGAGCGCGCTATTACCTTTTCCGGGGAGCAACGCGTTGACCACCACACCATGCGGGTCTTTCATACATAACCTGCCATTAAAAAGAATAGGCAGTAAATAAAAGGGTCAAGATTGTGATTATAACTATAGCCTCAGCTTAACTGGGTTCAATGCCGATTTGGGCTCCCAGATCGATCCCGTTGATGGGTGGTTGCTGATGGCAGAAATCGACAGAACTAGTTGAGAGAAGATAGGCGAAACGGAGGACTCGCATGGTGTGGTGGTGAACGCGTTACTCCCCGGAAAGGACAATAGAACGTTCGTTCCTCACCGCAGACACCTGCGGTCGGGAGTTTTACAAATATCTCAGCATTATAGAAGTTAATATTTCCGTAATCTACAATTTAACCCTCATTTCTACCATTCCACACGCTTATACTCAGAATTAGTTTAAGGTTAGCTTATCATAGCTCTCCATTTCAGTTCAAGTGCAGCGCATTGGTTAGGTGGGGCTGCAACACACATTTAATCGCTAGTTCAATATCGCCTTAACCCAGGATAACTAGGGTTGCCACACTAGCAGAGCTCGGTAAATTGATAGCAAACCTGTCTGGGAAGATCAAAAGCTCGGTGCGATAGAGTAGGTACGTCTCTGCAGCTCATATATTGTATAAGGTAATTATGCAGTCAATTGCTTCTACGCCGCTTAGTGAAGTTGGATGCATAGCTTATGCCTCTGGGATTGACTAACGCCAAACTCTGTGTTCTTCATATGCTTAATTTATCATGATATGACACTTACATACCAGTAGTGACTAGGACATCTATGAATGTTTGCCATCGTTTTCGATTCGCAATATGTGTAAATGATCCAAGCTTTTCTAGACGTGCTTTAACGAACTACAGTGTTGTTCGATATGGGCAAGGAACGGCGAATGTGAGCGAGATCCATCCTACATGGATTTGTGGTGCAAGGCGAGCTGTGGTATTTGTACACCAACCACCTACGATCTGAATACAGGCTAGTGACGATATTCCAGACAGATATAGTGAAAAACCGAACATTCGAATGACTAAATAATTGTCAATGAGAAAGTCTGGCAACCCACTAGTCTGAGAATTGATGGGGCGCGTGAAGCACAAAGGTTAGCGTACTGCAATACATACGCCATCTTCGGTTCGGTCCCGCACCTCTTGGATAAGAAACTGTCCTTCCTTCAAGGTTCAATAAATTGGTGCTGGACTTGTGTGTTCGGGTGGAAATGTTGTAGTCGTACATCGGTAGGTCCACATAAGTTCTTGAGCGGACTAATCGTGAATTCAGTCACCTCCACGATTCTCAATGAAGTCTAACAAAGGGTCATTCATAAGGGATTGATCGACGACGTACACTTTCTATGTCAATTTCACCGGAGCATTCTTGGAAGCGATGGAGTTTGTGTTATCACTTTTGCTAGACCTAGACCTGTTCCATCCCTATAACATTCACACTGGATATTGGATATTGTAATGAACAATGAAGATTATTCGTATCTCATTAAATCAAAGCGAATACTAATTTTTTTATATGACCCGTCTCCACTGTACTGTGCGGATCCCAGCACCATTGTCTACGAAGATCTTCCAACTTTTACGTGTTGTTTCAGCTGCTGCTTGAGGATTTCCATTTTATCTTGAATGTCGTGGAATGCTGATCGAATAATTCTCCCTAGAGTCCTGAGATAACCGAGTTGGAGCGTTCCCAGTTCGGTTCCAGAGAGGGATTTTTGTCCCAGACAAGTTCGGTACCAATTTCTCGATCCCGGAGGGATGAGAGGCTTAGTTGGTCCCTGGGGCGAACTCGAACTAGCACCATGATCGTGATGACGGACATCACTACCACCGTGCTATCTGCCTCAAAGCGAATACTAAGTGAAAAAAAACAGCATAAACGTCAACAGCCGATTCAAACCGACGAAGCATTAGCAAACTTGGGTTATTTCTTACGAAAATAATTCGTCCTATAATTTGAATGCGAATTTCTACAAATATATTATGCACACAAAATTTACTCAGTTTGTGCTAATGTGTTAGAAATGAGAGCAAGGATTCGTAGAATACTAAGTTTGAGTCAGGAAAACAGTATTTACATTCATAATCAGGTTTCCATGATGTTTAAACTATTAAATTCTCATTTGTGTTAGTTCATGATGGTTGTCATAAGGTTTGGATGTTCCAGATCCAGAATGAATAGTTAACAGGTAGTATCTTTCAGCATCATTGTCAACCAACTTTCATTAGACCTCGGCATAAATAATCAATGTACCTTATTTCACTGATAAGCTAACATGAGGTTGTTATTCAGTTCAGTGGTGATCCAATGACTTAGATCATCGGCTCTGATGAAGATGAAGACGTCGAAGCGTTGGCCGAGTAGATATGTGGTAGCAACCTCGTGTTAGCTTATCAGTGAAATAAAGTGGATTGTTCAATATGATCAGGAAAGTTTTCAGAATGCTCAGATCGTCACATCAGATGCGTAAGTCGCAGGGATAAAGGCGAATGTGACAGCAACCTGTCATGGATGATGGAGAATTGTCGCGACGCGTGTGGTGCTTGCGTCCTGACTCGGCTGCAAACCTGTAATGGTAGAGGTGGGTTGCTGTCTATTGCTAAATGATTCCCATGAGACTAAGTGAAAATTTGTATGAAAATGGGCATGCAGTGGGAAACGGCTATTCTTACCAATGTGGTGAACATTTTAAAGGAATAGTAAAACTTGTGCACTTAATTGATTGCATTTCTTCAGTTAAACAGTTCTTTTCTCAGTAGTTCTGGCAGTTCTTTGACGTTCTTCGCTTATCACCTCGAACAGTCGTCAAACCTCATAACTCCACGACAGATTTGACGCCTTTCAACTAGGTTTAAGTGTGCGTGAGTGCCAGGGTTGCAAGTGCTCGGTAAGACACAGTACCTTGCTTGCTGGTACGATCCCGTAGGCGTATTAAGCCTGCCATTCCTCTAGGATTGGCGAATGGATACCACACTCGTGTGATCTTGGGATCACTAAGTTATCTTATAGCCGAATAAATCCTTTTTTCAATCTCGTGTTAGCTTAATAATCGAAGAAAGTAAACGCTTAATAAATCGGCAGACTCTTGGAAGTTATTCTATAGACGAAATATGCGATAAAACATTCCGACGGTGTTTGATGGAAACGAAGCGTGGAACATCCCGTAAGGGATTGATCAACGTCGAACGCACTATACGTTATCTTTTAACTAAGCTTCTCCCAGGAATGTAGTGCTTCCTGACGTAGGTTCACTTACTAGCCAAGTTTTTAAATCGTTCCCGTTGAGGGGTGATTGCTGATGGGTCAACCATCAGCACAGTGAGGTGGTACCGTTAGAGTCAAAAACGGGTTGAGAGAAAGACAAAGCAAGGGCCTCAGTGGTGCAGTGGGTGGTGAATGTGAGATCCCGGAAGGGGTAATCGCGGGTTCGAATCAGGTCCGCGGTCTAGTTTTGCAAATAGCTGAGCATCACTGTCCTGTATTTCAGAAAATACCTTGCCGTGAAAAAATAATACGCAATAAATATAAAGTTAAACATTATCTCCATTCTAGCGTTTAGGCACAACGCCCTCAACAACTCGAACTAGAACTACATCTACAACTGCGATAGTTACACCCACGACTGCAAGAACTACACCTACAGCTACAAGAACGACGCCCACATCCACAAGAACCACATCTGCATCTACAAGAACTACACCCACAGCTACTAGAACTATATCTACATTAACAACTACGACTACGAGAGCCGTTTCGACAAACGACGGTATAGTTTCCCTCTTCATTTAATCCACATGAAAGCAGCACAGTGTTGACGCTACTGTAGCGTCTAGGAAGCATTTACTCTCTCTGCGTTAGCCCTTAATAAGTGCCCTCACGTGCGTATCACTTCAATCAGCGATATTGCGATACATGGCTAGATAGCAAACGGTATTACTGATCACTCACTTCGTAGTATATGACCGATAGTAAAGTAGGTTTTTCTGCTTGTACATAAGCTTACAGTAAGTAAATTCCGAATGAGTAGGGTTCTATCTGCCTGGTGTGGAATCGAATCTACAATGGCGACCTTTTTTCCCGTTTGCAAGGTGTTGACATTGAATTTATAACTCTAATATGGTTTTATTTGCACTTATTATATCGCTACGATTATAGGTTGCCTAAACCAAGACTATTGTTGTATTGCGTGGGCAAGCCGTGGACACTGTAATGACCCCAACCTGAGATCCTACATGGTGAAAAACTGTCAACCTGCTTGTGATGTCTGCAACGGAGCACCAGGAACTAGAAGTTGGAATACGCATGGTAAATAGTAATATCCCCAGGTCCTCATAACCAAAGTACATAGGAATTCGAATCGTTAACACTTTGTCACTGATTAGAAGACCGCACCATCGCAGCATAGTTGGTGAAGAAAAGCCACCAATATTTCAGTGTATCCTTGCGGTGTCCAACACCTGGTCAGAGAAAAAGATCCATGGGTTAATGATTGGTGCGAAATTTTATTCGCCTTCTCATGCATTGAAAACATTCTACATCTTGTTTTCTTGAGAATAAAATCACCGCCTTTAGACCAGATCAATAGCTTAATGCTGAGAAACGAACCAAAGGTGTGAGAGATTTTGTTGCCTTACTATTACCGCAGATGACAGCGTTTGGATTGAACTTTGCACAATGAAGCATAACCCAAGCACTTACTCCTGTGCATTAACACGCGCTTTCAGCCTGCACTAACTTCCATCCAAGTTGTACGGCATGGACCGCACAAGGTTATTGCAATGCTAGTCGGGCATACATGTGGGAAAACTGTCGACAATCATGCGGGTATGATGTTAACAAATACTGTATAGTTTAGATTAGCTGTTTATTAGGAAGAGAATCAAACCTATAGGTCGAATTCGTCGTTCCTTAAGTCCTTCATTTCCAGAGCATGTATGCTCAGCACATTGTCGACGCGTCTGTCATTGTGCGGATTCTCCGATAGATTGAATACTGAAAGTCATCCTGTCATACGATCGCCTACCCAACTGAATTCATTACCTCTTTTGACAGAGACGACACTAGCGACTCATTCCATCTCAGAGTTGCCTATGGAACTTCATTTATCGCCTCTTCAATCAGAGACGATATTCAGAACTCAAGCAGTCTCAGAGCTGTTTATCCAACCCCAGTCATTGCCTCTTCCGGTAGAAACGACATTAACGACAAAGCCATCGTCAGTGATACAGCCGTTACCACACACTTCATCATAACGTCAAAATCTGCTGTATTAAACGTTGAAGACAGGCAGACGAGACTCGCAACTATGACGGCTTTGTGAGTTATCATAACGTTTCCTGTCATACATTCATGTTATTTCTCTCTCTCTCTGGACAATCGGTCACCACAAGAATTGACTTACAATGAAACACTAATACGAAATCGCATTGTGTTACAGTTTTCCCTTCATGGCTATACCACTTCTTAATATCTGCACGCGCCTCGGCAGTCATACCCAAGTGTCTCACTCATTGATGTATGATGTTCCTTATTCAAGAAAATTCATATCTACACGTTGTTTTCATATAATGAAGTACGGGGTGCACAAGTTGTGATATTATTCTTAGTTGTCTACTGTGAAACCAAAGTCTTAAGTTGAGTAATGTATTTAATTCATAGAATCATTACCTAATAGACGCGGGGATTGCGTCAACGCAGAAGCTGGTAATAACACAATGTAGAGAAGATTCCCACTGATCCTTGATAGATGTAATCGGTTTCTGTCGTATAAAGTGCGAGCGCCAATACTTTTGAGTAAAGGCTGCTATGAAAAGTATTATGCACATACGAATATGAAAAAAAAGCGCGTGTGGCGCAGTGATCGGAGGCGTCCTGCAATACACATGGGACTCATCGTCGCGCCCAAGGCTCGCCAAATCATCCCTCCGAGTTCGACAAATTGGCACCAGGCTTGTCTGGGAGGACAGCAGCACTGGCTAGATACATCGGTAGGCCACCGCGAGTCATTGTAAAGGCGAGATATGCATTCAATCACGCCTGACGATGCTTGTTGAAATTGAATGCACGGTGAATCCCTTGGGGATAGATCAATGCCGACAGCTTCACCCTTTATCCTTCATGAAAAATACTCGACACTACAGCGGAAGACTCCTCTCCACCTTTATTCTCTTGACCAAATTTACTGACTATGAACTTTGCGCTTATACCTAGCGTTAAACTCTTCCACATACATTCCCACGGCGACGGACCGCATGGGAGCACTGGTCTGATACGTGGAATAGATGCTGATTGCAAGATGATGTCTTGACTATCACGAAGCGGCGATAAGGACTAATAATCCCCTAATATGCAAGAGCATCAGCAACAGATGGTGAATATAGGCCACTAACTTTTATCACCATGTATGATGGGCGTTATATTGCCCATTTCTAAGGCGAATGGCTTCTCCCTCCCTTCTCCCTTCTTGCAGTACCACCATACAGTACTCAAGAAATCAGGGACTTAAACAGCACAAAAAAATGACGGATGGGAAACAGTTGGAATGTATGCATTCATAAAAAAAAATTGGCAGTTTCCTCTAGTCTGATATATATAAAACATTCCCAGCAGAATTATAATACGGTAAGGCGTCTTCAAAAGAGCTAATCGCAGTAAACATTACAATTCTGGACTTACAAGGTACAAGTTGAGGTTGTAATGTATTAGAATAATAACGAAACGTTTAAAAAATAGCCACCCATAGAAGCAACTATTACCACTGCTTTTAAAATACCGTTTAATACATGTTTAGTAGGAAATCTCAGCATATAATACACATGTTTCTTATAATCGGAGCGCAGTTATCGCCCCATTTCTTGTTCAAAGCAAAGAGCCTGTTCAGTCGATAACAGAACATTTAAGCCAAATGTTCAAAAATAAAAAGACAAGAGAAATAAGTGGTAGCAAAAAAGTATGAAACTAACGAAACAAAACAGGACAAAACCATTTTCTTGAGCCGAACTGCTGTAGAAAGTGTAAAACTTTAAGTGCCATGAATAAACTAACTCCTACAATAAAATACAAAGCTTACTGATGTTTAGAACATCTGTGTAACGATGAAAGTCAAATAAGAATCCTTCATCAAAACCTTTTCGAATATGAAACCTACTTACCAAAAACTAAAAAAAAACATTTTTGGAACAATTCTGCACAAGCAAAGCTATGAGACTACCTACATTTCTTCACAGTAACGATGGGAAATGGAATGAAGAGTAAACAATTCAAGGATCAACCTGATTAAGTTGTCCTCAGCATCTTCGCAGCCTTCTTGTCTGCATGGGCTTTTAGCTGCTCTGCTACGATTTTTCGTCGTTCGTCAAGGAAACTCTTAAGTTCAACTGGATCGAGGTCTTCACGTTGAACTTGAATACCTATTGTTCGGCACTGCTTCACAATGTAACGACAGATCAACTAGAACGAGAAAAGTGAAGAAATCAACGCAGAAAACAGTTCTGCTAACTACTGTCTTCAACTTATTACTCTTTAAAATCTTAACCGCTTTATTTACTGCCCACTCTTTTTAATGGCAGAATATATTGCGAAATGTAACTTCAGTGGTGCTGAGATATCTGCAAAACTCCGGATCACAGGTGTCTGCGGTAGAGAGCGAACGTGTTATTGTCCTTTGCGGGGAGTAACGCGTTCACCACCACACCATGCGGGTCCTTCGTTTCGCCTGTCTCGCTAACGTATCAACCCCGCTGACTGGTGATTGCTGATGGCAAAAGATCGATAGAACTAGCTGATAGATAGGCGAAACGAAGTACCCGCATGGTGTGGTGGTAAACGCGTTACTTCCCGGAAAGGATAATAGTGCGTTCGTTCCCCACCCGCAGACTCTTTATAATATTCAGTGGGAAAGTTAAATGGATTTCCTTCGTTAATAAATATCAATACGGAAAATTAGTAGTGGGATCTTCTGTACTGGATATGCTAATCATATTTTCGAACATGGGATCAAAATCAAATTAGAGCCACAATCAATAATGACTTCCTTTACTTAGCACCTCTATGAATAGTGGACGAATAATTTTCCAACAATTTCGTCTGTCACAGCGTGAATCCCTCTATTTAGAATCTCGCTACTAGCAAAAATTGAATTTCTTCACCCATCATCTCAACAATTTGTACGAAAACAAGCCCCTTCGAGATAAATCTTTACGAAAATATTTAAATAAGAGGCTTCATGAACAATAAAGTACTGGAGGGAAAACAGAGAACCTCTAGTGGAACACCTTGTAGACACTTGTCCTTCGACTTCACTTTTGCGATCTCGTAAATGTGCTTCACAGATAATTTTCCAGCAATTTCGTCTGTCATAGCGTTAAACAAACATAACAATGAGAAGCAAGAATAACAATAATAACAATAATAACAACAAAAAGAGTACACTAAGTGTTAAGTACCTTTACTTTCCTTCCCTCGAGCAATTCCAGCCGCCTGCTTTAAAAGCCATGACGTAGTCGGTGTACATATCTCCAAATCGTATGTTCGATCAGGTTTGATTGAAATACGAGTTGGCAAAACGACTCCTATAAAAAACTTTCACCCACGGTAATAAGAAGGATAAAGGATAAAGCTTTCGGTGTTTACCAATTCCTGACGGATGGTCCATGCATTCGACTTCATTAGGCATTGTTTGAAGATGACTGGATGCATATATGGGCTCTCCAATTCCTCGCAATGACCCACCGAGGTATTGAGCCAGTGCTGGTATCCCCTCAGACAAGTCTGGTACCAATCTGCCGACCCCGGAGGTATGCAAGGCTTGGAGAGACAGGGCACCAGGGATCGATCCCAGGTGTGTCGCATGGTTCGCCTTAAATGATGTCCCTTCAGGTTTATAAGTCAGGAACAGGCGCCCCAACACTCATTAATACGCGCTGGTAGGGAATCCTTATAAAAGTAACAAACAAACAGAACTAACATCCTTTGCTTGAGCAAAACTTGCTAGACAACTGTTAAAAGCGACAAGGATTAACGGGACCTTTAGCAGAGCTCTCCTCAGCCAATAGAAGTTCAACAGGAGGACGAGTGATAAAATTAAAGCTTAAAAAAATTAGCTGATAACCTGGCTTAATATGTCCTGTCTCCTTATTGAATTCTTTACAAAAATTAGCAACATTGAGACCTCTCTGGCCAAGTTGTGGGCCTAGTGGTGGTGCAGCGGACGCCATTTGTGCTCTAAACAACTAAATTCTGGAAGACAGTAGAAAGAGAACTCCAAATGCAAAAGATTGACAGCGAGAAAAATTTATGGAATGACTCTGGAACTCTGGAAAACCTGGATCTAAACCGAAAACCATGTACCTGATATTCGTTCTCAGTAGTGCACCATGGATTACCTTGACGACCTCTTTCTTACGAACACGAGCCACGGCTTTGCTCGACATAGTTCTAAATGGAGAAAAGTTTATTTCATAATTACACATACACTGAACACCACAGTAGTTTCGTCAAATAAACAGAGGAGGAAAAAAGGGGAGGAGGAGGAAAACAGAAAAGAGGCGAAAAAACCAATATACATCTAGAAAACTATCAACATTCAAAGCTTTGAGTGACACGTGTATACGCAAGTCGATTCAGTTCAGCGATACGTTTTACTGATATTAGGTAACTCAATGGTAACAGAACAACGTTTATAACCATGAAACAGTAAAAACTGGGTTGGATAGATGATGGGGCACGTTTACAGGGACGGAAGGCCACGATTCCTGACTGGGAACAGTTCACTCGGTCATAGAACCCGGTTGGAGTACAGTGTTTTGCTTTGAAGGCATTCATTTCGAATTCACTGCATCGTACGCACGAGTCGATGACAGTCACCTTCTCGTTCAACCAGCACATTCCGGACGGTCCTAGGTCGGTGCTCGACACCTCGTTCGGTGTTTTCGAGATGGATTTTATCTGAGAGTCTCCGTTACCCTCTTCAGCATACTCTTCCACGAAGACCACAATAACTGTGAAACAGATAAGTGCGATAATGAAAGAGAACAACCGTTTCGATCGATAATACTCGAGCACATCACATTTCTCTGCCATTTGTCACGGCCTTGGTTGTCATGTGACCAGCTTATCAAGTTCGGATCGAGTACCTGAAAGCAAAAGCCAGTAGGAAATGGCGTAAAAGATGTATAGTGGTCTGTTTGATCACTACTGCAGTGTAGTTACAAGTAAACATCGAACAAAGAAATGAACGAGAACAGAAGAGAACATTAGGGAATTCGAACACTTAAGCAAATTTCGTAAGCAAACCTAAAGTGGTAGATCAAAGAGAAGTTCCGAAATGTTTCAAGAAACAAACTAAAAGTAGAAAAACAAACTGAATCCAGATAACGATAAATTTAACGCAACCAGAACAACCAATCGAGAAAGCATGTACTAACATGGTCTGTGATATACGTCGAGTTCGGTGTGTGCTGTGAAAATACGTACATGCAGCTTAAACTCGACTTCTTCCTTACCACCTCCATTCGTAATCTGGAGGAATTTGTGCAAAACAGTTCACCTTCATTGATCATTGTGATTGGTCCGCTCCAAAATTTAGTTGAAATAGAGAAACTTACATTTCAGGAAGTATCTTAAACTATTGGCAGTAGATCATTCTGGAGCGACATCCTTATCAGTATAGGGACTTTAGTTCCAAATTTTCTGTCGCGATCATGAGACTATCCGATCAAGTGACGTCCAGGTTCTGAAGACTTAATCTGTAGAGGCGATTTCGTTATTGTGGATTAAATGTTACGTTTTTTAGGGCTCCTCACAGCGGTCTACCGCCTCATCGTGGCTGGGAGGAGTTCCTGGGTGTCGGGTACAGCGGGGGATTCGTACCTCCGGCAGGGTCTCCCAAGCAGAGAACGAGTCCGGAGTTTCCATCAGGAGGCCTATCTAAGAGTAAATCAATACCAGGATCCACCTTCTGGTATCAAACTAGTCACATGGTGTCAAATCTACCTCTGATCCACAACGGCGGCGACTGCCTGTGGCGGTGACGACCTGGCGCAGACTTTGGCTAGCCTGACCTCGATACTCCAGAGAGCCACAGTGGCTAAATCAGCAAAACTCCGAAAAAGTGGAAATTATGCTCCTGCCTCGCATAACCAGTGAGCATGGGCCATCAAAGTATCCAAGTATTCAAGTATTTTATAAGGTTTATTTTGGAGGACTCGTCTAGACATCTACTATGTGGACCATACTTCCTCCATACGATTCGTTTCCTCTCAGCCATCATCTACAAAGATCTTCGTTATTTTGTGTGTGTATTCGGCTGCTGCTTAAGGATTTTCATCCTCATGAATGTCGTTGAGTGCTGGTCGAGACGCTTCTCCCTCATTCCTAGGATACCCGTACGGGAGCGTTCCCATGTGGACTGGGAGAAGTGAGCTGATTCTAGACAAGTCTAGTACCAAGTCCCTGACTTCTGAGAGATGAGAAGCTTGATGAGCTCAGCGCGAAGTCGAACCAGCATTGTGCTCGTGATGAACTGCGTCACTGTCAATGAGATACCCAGCCCTAAGTGCTACATTAACAACCTCATGTGAACTCCTGAACAATCAAAGAAATTAGTTGCGTAATAGAAAGAAAAAGATGGAGAACATCGCCGATAGATTGAGGAGGAAGAGAAACAGCTGTTCCGATGACAGCCAACGCCCAACTTTTTCCATGATAACGCCGAAGTTCATCTAAGCGACAACAAAGCTTGGTCGGATTTTCTTAACTTCTTTCTACTTTCAATAGTCGAACTTATCGGAATTTTCTCCATAATAAGAGTTTCCTTACTTCAGAGTTCTTTTTTAAATCGTTTAGCTTTAACCGTTAACATTTTAAACTCACATTTGGACAGAAATTATATAGGCTATACGGTATCCTTTGTTGCTCAAAACATATTCATATTCTTGCTTCTGCTCCGAAAACTTTTTAAAAATCTCTGTTGGTGGTACTTTTTGAGCAAGACAATGCCCGTTCCATAAAAAGACTTGTTACTTACTTATATGAGGTTATTTATCCAGAGATGAAGTCGCTGTTGTTCACGTTACTCGTTTTGGTGGTCATTGGCGTCGCACGTTCGTGCGAAAAATTCGAGAAACACGTGAACATGTTCTGCAAGTTTCCCGGCGAGACCAACACTTGCTTGACACCTAATGGTAAGCACAAATCAATACCAATCGATATTAGTTCGGCCGAATAAACTTTCCTGCCAGCTGTTTACCGCCTCATCGTGGCTGAGAGGTGTTCCTGGGTGTCGGACTGCGATATATAGTGGGGATTCATCTCTTGGCAGGATCTCGCAAGCTGAGAAGGAGTCTGGCGTTTCCATCAGGAATCCTAGCTAAGAGTAAACCAATACCAGGCTCCACCACCGTCCTGGTATCAAAGTCGCATGGTGGCAAATCTCTCTCTGATCCACGAAGGCTGCGACTGCTTACGGTGGTGAAGACCCGGAGCAGACCTGGCTAGGCTGCCCACAGGATTTCAGGGAACCACAATGGCTTAACCAGCAAATCTCTGAAAAATGGAGATTATGCTGGGGCCCGCACAACGGAAGTGAGGACGGGCCATTCAAGTGTCAAGTGTGCGAATAACGTTCATTAATTCGAGAAAATACCATTTCAGCTTATTCATTCGCATCGTCGTGTTGTGCAAGTAAAGATGGATGTAATTCAATGGAATTTCCGAAAGACAAGGTGTGCCATTTGTTTAAAAAGTAGTGAAAGTAAGGGCGGCGATGAGAACACAAGAATCTGGTAAAATTTATACATTTCTACCATTAAAGATTATTTTGGAAACGAATCTTGACGCACTGTTGGGCCGATTTGAAATAGAAGAACCTTAAAATTGGAATTTCGTAACAAGCACGGCTGTTTTACTAACAAAAAAGGATAAAGGGGAATGCTGTTGGCTCGGATGAATCCCTGAGGGGTGCCTCACCCATTCGTTCACTAAGCACCGTTAGAAACGATTGAATGCATATTTCGCCTTCATTATACACTGTGCTAGTTAGGTGTAGAATCAGTGTTTTCATCCTCCAAGAGAAGTCTGGTATCATTCTGCCTGCGCCGGAGAGATATGAGGCTTGGTTAGCGTGGTGAACAGGGAGAACCAACGACCATTCGTTTCTAGCAGAGCATCTTTAACCGTACACTTGGTCGAGAGACACAAAATAAGTTGCTTATATTGTGGAATCCCTTATTTCTGGGCAAAATTTTGTAAGAATCCAAAGGCAGCAGGTTGTCGGGTTCTTCGATAAAGGTTGGATATTTTCGCTGATGGATAGGGTGAATTGTTACCCTTTTCCAATTACGTCTGGGAGTAAATATATCTATTGAAGGCGACCTCGATTCATCTCTCATAATCGATGCTTTCTCTTTTCTTAGTCATAAGATTTCAGCTAAATAGACGTACAGGATATAACTCACATGGATTCAATCGTACAGGTATATCTGAGTACGTCTACCTGGGTGCAGAAGTGTAATTCAGTCCACTGGATGTTTACCTGTATCACCTGTAGTCTCGTTGTTCGTCGAGTGACTCGAGCCGGCGCCAGTAAATCTTCCGTTTTTCCCTGTCGCGTGCAAGAGTAACACAGTGAGTTCTGCTCGCTCTAAGGATTCGTCGAGCATCATACCTTTCTTCAAGGCTCTTTGTGAAGAACTCTGACCATCGGGTCGGTGGTCTTCCTACAGTGCGTTTGACATCGCGAAGAATCCAGTCACTAACAGCTCTTGTCCATCGGTTGTCATTTATACGCATTAGGTGTCCGGTCCATCTTGTCTTCGGCAGCTTGACGTACACAACGGTATCTCTGATTTTTGATCGTTGGCACAGATCGGAGCTTCGGATCTCTTCCCTTACTTGTATGAAGCAGTATATCCTTAGCATCGCCCTTTTGACTGCGCATTCAATAACACTGAGTGACCATTCATCCTGCTTACGCAGCGGCCAGGTTTCTGACGCATACGTTAGTGCAGGAAGTACCTTTGAGTCGAAAACATGGGCACGGAGTTGGGTGTTCTTTGTCCTCTTCACTACATCCTCGATGCTCTTGAAAGCTCCCCAAGCCGCTCGTTTCCTTCTGCTCAACTCTGGAGCTAAGTCGTTCATCATGGTGATTTTCCGACCTAAGTAGATATAACTGGAGCATTCGGAGATGTTCGTTCAGTTGAGTGTGAATGGAGCATTTGAAACCAATCCGTTCTTCATGAACATCGTTTTTGTGAGATTTAGTCGAAGACCAATCTTTTCACAGACTTTATCAAAGTCGCCAAGGTACTCTAGCGATACTTCAATGAGCCTTGTTACCGTGTGGATGTGGTGTATCGTACTAAATCCTTTTCGAAACCCTGCTTGCTCACATGGCTTTCCTTCTTTTAGTATTCTGTCAAACCAGTTGAGGATGACTCGAATGAAAGTTTGTAGACGACAGACAGTAAGCAGATTGGGCGATAGTTGTCGGCATCGTGTAGGTCACCCTTCTTGAACAATAACACGGTCTTGCTGGTCTTCGACTGAGTAGAGACCTTGCATTCGGACAGATGTGTGAAGGGCCAAGTCAGTGTGTTTATGAGGACTGGCGGAAGGTTCTTCAGGTGTTCTTATCCTGTCCGGACCTGGTGCTGTTCGATTTTTCACCGACGAAATGGCATGTCGGATTTCGCAAGGGGGAACCGGTGGTACAACATGTCTATCCTCCTTTATTTCATATGACGGAAGGTGGACGTGGTTATCGAAAAGATCCGAGTGGTATTCGTGAGTGATTTTCTCCATCGCCTTTCTGGACGCTGCAACTGTTCCGTCTGCGCGCCGGAGTGCAATCATTTTGGTCTTGTAATTGGCCAAGCTTCAGTGGGCTTTGCGAATGCTTTTCCCAGCCTCTGCAGCTTCGACCATCACTGCCGCTCTTCTCTCTTTAAGTTCTTTTATCGCCTGTCTGCATTGTTTTGCAAGTTCGGACGTTAGTTCGCGGTTGCCTGCAGCCCGTGCGATTCCACGCTGGCGTATTGGCTCGAGTATTTCTGGAGGCAGACGTCTTTTGGTGACTTTCGAACTTTCAGCTTTCATAACGCTAACATAGAAATGTCGAATGAGCCGATCGTATTCTTTGTCGATGTTATCGACATCTTCAAACGGCCGACTAATGAATTGAATAAGTCCCAGTTTGGGGTGGTTCTGGGACTTCGATTTTGGAATTTAGCGGCTTTTTCTCCTTTCTGCGACAAATAGAATCTTGCGCGAAGGAGACGATGGTCTGATACCGTGTAGAATTTTGGCACAACTGCGACGTCTGTTAGGCAAAACCTTCTATTTACTATGATGTGGTCTATTTCGTTATGGTACTCTCCATTGGGAGACTCCCACGTCCAGCGTTGAGGATGGGGCTTCTGGAATTTGCGGGTCACCATGGATTGTCTTGGTTGCCATGATAAACTCAGACAGCTGCTCACGCTGTTCGTTCCATTGTAATCCGTGGGTCCCAATGTGATGTTTTTCAGACGTTCTTCTTGGTTCAATCTTGGCATTGAAATCTCCAATGATGATCTTAAAGAATGTATGGTCTTCTTTGTAGAACTTCTCCAAGTTCATATAGAACGCTTCGACTTCTTCTTCGTCATAGCTCGACGTTGGCGCGTAAACGACGAAGATTGTCAAAGCTGGAATTGATCCACGTCTTTTTAATCGTAGACGTCCGATTCGGGTTGAAAGTTGTTCGAATGAATCGATGCTCATGGACAAACTCGTGTTGACGAGAACGCCGACGCCAGCGACTCCTCTACTGCCGTATGTTCCGGGGAACAATTCTTCTCCGGTGCCATAGACGGCGTTGAATGGGTGGCATCTTCTCGTTTCGGCCAGGCCGATGACGTCGTACTTTGTCCTTCTTGCTTGCATGAGCATGCCTTCTATCGAGGACCCGGTTGCAGGTGTAGGTGCATTGTAGCTACAGATCGTTACCATAGCTTTTTGAAATCCAGGTAGCTTTCATTGGCCCTGAGATTTTAGCAGCTTCTCCGTATTCGTAGAGTGGACATGGAGCTTATTTTTTGGAGGCGGCTCCTAACCGCTTCCCATATTCTTCCCTGTTACTCGATTGCAGACTTTTGGCCAATTGACTCGTAGAATACAATCCACATAAGCAAGAACGCAGCCGCACACGCATGCATGAATGCGCCTAGAAAAGAAAGTAGGTACCAAATTACCGCAGCAGAAACAGGGAGCTCATCCCCTGGATCCACCTGCGTCTCGGGGAAGCAAAGGTCGCTTTTGGTCCGCGATTAACCCTCTATCCGCCACCTGGGGAAGCGCCACGTAGCCTCGCAACTAACCGGCTCGAGATCTCTCATGTGAGGGAGAGCCGTGGTGAGGGAGATCCACTGGATAATAGTTGTTCCAAATCTAAATCTCTGAACGCCTAAGTCTCACGACAGGTAGAAGAATAAGGTCCACGTACGACCACCTATTCACCAGGTGTGGGTCCACAACTTTGTAACTAACCAAATCCCATTGTACGAGTTAGGTTTAAACGAAAAAATCACACAATGGCTGATAATTCATTTTTGAGGCCTTTTTCTAACGGTTCCAGGTGTGCTGCTTCACGAAAGCCTGTCTTGATCGTTGTTATCCAGGAAAAGATTATCGTATTGGCGACGTCTACTAGAAGTCCAGGACTTCTTCGTCTTCATTTTTAATCATGAGTTTCGATAATGTCGTAGTTATTAAATAAAAATTCTAATCATACAATAAGCTAAAAGACCTGAAAATGGTTTTCGTAAAGAAATCGTATAGAGTAGTAAAGCGCTTCAGGATAGTTTCACTTTCGAAATGTTGTTGTTTCTACACGGCCGACAGTTTAAGAAAGGATAGAATGAGTTATAAAAGATAACTTTAAAAAGATTTCAATTTTACTGTATTACATCTATTAACGACCATTTGAAAGCATAAAAGGTTGAAAAGACATGAATGTCCGAGGTAGATCGATTAATTAGGGATGTATCATGCATTCATCTCCATTCATACCATTACAGAGGTGACTGAACGCATCTGTAACCTGTACGGTGACTACCAAGAGCCTGTTGATGTATCTGTTTAATGTTTTTATTCCTACAGACAAGTCCGATACCAATTTTTCACATTTGAGGAGTGAAAGGTTTTGTTGAGATGCGGCTTGAGAATGAACGAGCAAGCTCATGAGCATTGCAGTGCATCTCTAACTAATGCACTACATGCTCCCATATAAGTGTTTGAAATTCTGACTTTACCCTTCATCATCTTTTTCTACAAAATGAAAAGATTGAAGGTTACGGTGGCATCGTCGCACATTTTTGGTCGCACTTTTCTCTGTGTGCGATCGGTGCGCTCAATAATTGGTCGTACATTTAACGAGAGGTTTGATACGAATTGAGCCGATTTTTCACCTACCGATCATATGAATGGTAATCCGAATGGCCTTCTTTCACTTTTAAGCGAATGCGGTTTATCAACAACAGTCGGCCCATTCAGTCGACGTGATGATTGCGTTGATGTCGATGAGAAGTTCTCCATCTATTCCTTCCAGCTTTATATCATTTCATCTCTAGATTTTATGAATTGTCATCGTTCACTTGAATAATCACGTTTACAGCTTTAGTGTAGTTAGAAGGTGCTCCTGAGTACCGAATTGCCGTGGGCAACAAGAAGTTCATTTACTTATTCTTGTTAGAATCAGCAAAATTAAGGACTTTGATATTTTCCAGTTAAATGTCAGCACCAGAAAGCGCTTCCATCCTGGAAGAAATTCAGTCGCAAGATGGTAAACCTCTAGTCGTTTCACAAGTCTCTACGATTACTGGTGTAGAACAACACGGAGGACCTTGGGAAATCGGCCTTCTGTTGACTTCACACCAAATATCTTTCCGAACCAGCAACATATCATTTAAGTGGGAATTGCAACAAAATGCTGATTTTTGACACGTACTGAGTCATTAAAGTTTTTTACCTCTGTTTTAGAGTCCATTCGTTTTTTTCTTGTGGATGATACTACAGTTACACGTTGTTTGCTCCAAAGGAGTAGAATAATAGTAATGATAACAATACTTATTTATTTGGATGCTTGGATGACCCGTCTTCTTTGTTGTGTGGGTCCCAGCATATTTTCTATTTTTCCGGAGTTTTTCTGGTCTAGTAATTGTGGTTCCTTAGAGTCCCAAGGTCAGCCAGGCCAACGTTAGCCACAGGTCGTGAACACCACAGACATTCTCCACCTTTGTTTACTGGAGAGAGATTTGCCACGATGTGACTAGTTTGATGCCAAGACGGTGGTGGATTCTGGTATTGGTTCAGTCTTAGTTAGGCTTTCTGATGGAAACGCAGGACTTCTTCTCAACAGGGTGAATCTCGTCGGGGGGAAGAATCCTCTGTACATAACGGCTCGACACCCAGGAAGATTTCCCAGCCACGATGAGTAAGCCTTTGCGAGGCATAAAAAAATTATAACAGTGATAGCATTAAAATGGTGATGGTAAATGCTACGCATATTCTATGTCAGGTATGTCTCAAAAATTTCTATTAGAACGCTAGAAAAAAGTCTACTATCATAATGAAATTAGGGTGCTCACAACTGTTCAGCTCATATCATGTTTGCTTCTTATAAGTACTATACTATTTTCACTTCTTACAACAGGACAACAGCGCGTGTTCGTTCTCCACTGCATACACCTGTGGTCCGGAGTTTTGCAGATATCTCAGCACTTCATACGAGTAATCTTCCACTGTTTTAAAAACCTACCAATGGTCAGTAATTTTTGATACAAGACGAAAGCGTAGTGGTTATTCTGGCAAGATTGTTGGAATTGGTCCAAAAAGCTCTTCGGCCGACTAGCTCACAACAACAATCTTAACTTGCCGAAGATTTCCGTTCGAAACACTTCTCTGATGATTTTATTGCGAATTGGAAAACTCTTTTCTCTCTCTTTCGATAGATTTTATAGCCTCATCATGGCTCAAAAGGTGAACTTTAGAGTGTCGAAGCTCGATCTACAACGAATTGATCCTACAGAGTCGTTCAAACTTAGACATAGGACGACATCGTTTCTATCCAAAGTTTTTTTTCGAGCATAGCTCGCGATAAT